AAGTTATTTCTCACTCAGCACGTCTCCTTTCCGACGAGGGTGCGCGAAGGGCAACAGTCAAACTGTCTGGATCTGCTCCTTACGAAGTCACTGGACAGCGTTGATGAGGTGCAATGTCTACCCCCCTAGGTCGAAGCGATCAAGTCGTACTGTTGTGGGAGTACTCCATTTTTTCTCTACCCGAAAAGGCCACCAGGATTAGAAGGAACATTTGGCGCGGTGACTTTGCCCAAATGAAAGCTGAACTAAACACCATAAAATGGGAATCAGCTTTTTCCGGTGATATAATCAGGGATTGGGACTGATTTAGTGAGTCATTGCACGTTCTTCACAGAGACCACTGTCCTATTTCACGGAAGAAACTGAACAGCAGACCCCCGTGGCTAACGTAAGCTTTAAAAAAGAAGCGAATAAAAAGAGGAGGTTATGGAGGAAATTCCTCTCGGATAGGAACTATGTGTCGATAAATGCATACAAAGCACAGAGGAACCTAGTGAGGAGGTTAATCCCCGGGACGCGGCGTACCTTCGAGAAAGACCTATTGAATCGAGCCGCAGAAAATCCGAAGCTATTCTATGGTTGCATAAGAAGAAGCACACGAAACAGAGACCCAGTACCGTTATTAAAAAGGAGTGACGACCTAGAACTCAGTGAAGACGGAGTAAACGCAGAGTACCTTTCACAATTTTTTAAGTCCATCTTTACGAAGGAAAGCCCATTTCTCCCTCCCGACTGTGACATAGTGGACGGGCCAACGATTGAGCACGTCTCTTTCGTCGAAGTTCACAAAGAACTTTTGACGCTGAATCAGTCTAAATCACCTGGGCCGGATGACATACCGCCGAAATTGTTGAAGGAGCTTGCTGGAGAACTATCCAAACCGCTGTCCATGCTCTTCCAAGCTTCGTTCGAAGCCGGCTATTTGCCAGCCGATTGGAAATATGCACGGTTCACGCCACTATAAAGGTGGCAGCAAGGTTGTAGCAAACACCTACAGACCAATCAGCCTTGCTTCAAGTGGCTGCAAAATTATAGGAAAAATAATTAAGCGAGAGATTATGCGCTTCGTAGAACAACATAATCTGCCCAGCACTGATTTCGCAGAGGCAGATCATGCGTGGCAAACCTACTTTGACCGGTGATAAATAAGCGGCCACAGGTCTTCCATCACGGCTACCTTACGTACTATTGTTTGTTCAGTAGGTGTGCTTGTGGTATTTTTTTTGCCGCCGCGGCAAAAAATACCACAAGCACACCTACTGAACAAACAATAGTACGTAAGGTAGCCGTGATGGAAGACCTGTGGCCTCAACGGCCAGAAAGAAACATTCAAACACACCTACCGACTAGACTCCGTAGGGTTTACGGGGAGTTCCCATCCCCTGCTGCCTAAAATTTATGTCCAATATACAATGCCACTTTTATGCCTTTACGCACACAAACTTCTCCTTTCCTAAACCACCTCTGGGCAGTTCCCATGCGCAGCAGTTGCGCTGTTAACTGCGGGTTTGCCGGTTTCGTGGTTTACGCAGTGTTTCCCGTCATCATCTATCGGTTTCAGGTCATGGTCC